GGGGGGGGGGGGGTTCTCCTTTTACATCCAAACGTTCGACCCTCTCCTAAATGTCTTCAGCACTCAGGTAACGACCCCTGACAGCAGATGAGCCCTCGACTGGCACAGGTACATATAAACAGCTTGAGACTACCGTGGGAAACCCATGACCTCGTGCGCACGTGCGCTGACCTCTCAGGTAAGCCCCCCCCCCTCCCCGACAACTGTCTAGTCGACAACTTGCGCCGAGGAGGCCAGGCTGAGCTCCACCGGCGTCTGACATCATTGAAGAATCACATTACACCAACTATTCAGGTGCCTTACCATCGTGTGTAACCGAGTCTCCGGGGCGTCTCCTTCGTGTTCTTCATCGGAGTATCACCATTTAATGTTCACATTGTGGCATCTGCTTACCCTTTGTTCCGTGTGCATTCCGTGGCCACCGGACTTACAATAACTTTAATCTATAGTTCAGGAGTTACTAAAAAAAAAATTAATTTGGATGGGTTCTTTGAAAATAAGTTATTATATTACAAACAACACAATAATAATTGATGATTATACATGTATTTACAACACAGTTTTAATGTTAAGAACCCCCATTTGTAGCCCCCCCCCCCCTCTTTTCCAATGGAACAAAATGTCCTATATGCAGGGGCTAAAGAGCTGACCACTGATATAAACACGAGAACCATTGATGCTGTCGACGGCCAAACTGACGTGGGTGCTGTTAAATTCCTCGTCCATGCCCAGAGACAGAGATAGACCAAATTTGCTCCAGTTTTTTTAATTTTTTCCCCCCCTCCAGCCTTTTCTTCTGCATCCTTGTGCCACCAATGCCGCTATACAATGTTGCTACGCAGAATGTATTAAGGTAAGAGAGGAGTGAAAAGAAGGGTGGGTTTCTTGGTTTGCTTTTTGTCGTTTTGGAGTTGGTGGGAGAGGGTGGAGAGGGGTTGACTGGGGGATAGATATCATGTCTTGGAGGTGGCATTCCCCATTATCAGACATTGTTGAATTTCATCACGGGGGGGGGGGGGGGGGGGGGGGGAGGAAGACGAAACAGAGAGGGACGAAAGTGGATGAAAAATGAATGTGCAGTTATTTGCTGCAGCCCGTCAACGCTATTAGGGCATATCAGTGGCGTATATAGCTAGGGCTAGTGTCGACCTAGGGCTATTGTCTCCCTAGGGCTAGTGTCACCCTAGGGATATTGTCTCCCTAGGGCTAGTGTCGCCCTAGGGCTAGTGTCGCCCTAGGGCTATTGTCTCCCTACGGCTATTGTCTCCCTAGGGCTAGTGTCTCCCTAGGGCTAATGTCTCCCTAGGGCTAGTGTCTCCCTAGGGCTATTGTCTCCCTAGGGCTAGTGTCTCCCTAGGGCTATTGTCTCCCTAGGGCTAGTGTCTCCCTAGGGCTATTGTCTCCCTAGGGCTAGTGT